AAAAAAAAGAGTCATCAAGATAAGTAGTAATGCAACACTATATGAAAAATCAAAATTAATGCAAAAACAAACAAACCCATGATGAATAAACTATCAAAATTTTAAATGAATATAGGCTGTTGATGCTACGTTATGGTATAACCAGGCCAGTGTTTCTTTTTAATGATTCTAATCAAGCAGCATGTGCTCCACTGGGTGTGTTTATGATGAAGCTGAACTTAGCCTGAACAACAGATTGGGCTACAAAAGGCTTTATAGCTAATCCTTTTTTTTTTTTTTTTAAATATAGAGCTTTGGATAGCTTTTTCCATCAGGTCCAAAATATTGGAGAATATTTTGATAAATGGATATAAATAAAATCCATTTTTGTTGAGTTGATTTCATATTCTGTTCCATATGGTTTTCTTTGTTGTAATCTTCATGGTGGTACAAGCAGTTTGTGCTGGGCTACTAATCAAAAGATTGGTGATTTAAACTCACCTAGTAGTGCTGTGGAAGAAAGGCTTGGAGATCTGCTTCCATGAAGATTATAGCCAAGAAAACCCTATGGAGCTCAGTTCTGTTCTGTAATCATGAGGCTGCCATGAGTCGGAATCAACTCAATGGAAATGGTTTTTTTTTTTTTTTTTCCCCATAGTCTTTATGGAAACTGATCACCAAGATTTCTTCTGTGGTGCCACTGGATTGGTTCCAATGGCCAACTTTCAGGTTAATAGTTGATCACAAATCATTTGTGCCACCCAGGGACCCTTAAATGGATATAGGGACACACATTCTTCTTTATGTCCAGGCTTACACATGGCTCAATATGTCATTTAAGGATCTCAGGATGATTGGAGAAGGAAAAGTAAAACAATAGAAAAAAATCTTGAAATTAAGAAGAAGCTAGCAATACAAGCCTATCTGCTGGTGATTTTTCCTATTTGTGTCTATTTTGTCTTTCTTAAATCTCAGCCCACAATGTAGTCAAGAGAATTTCTGAACTTACATTAATTACTCTCTGACTCCAAAGTCTTTCAAGTCCTGGTATCTGTCCATAGCTTTTCCTTCTCATTCTGCATCTACTATACTTGTTCTGAAATTTCCTTTCTTTAGGCAGTTGAAGACATATTTTTGAAACTTCTTTCTCTCTCCCTTTTGTCTGGGATTAGAAAATAATAACAAAAAAATAAAAATTTAGAATATGCATCTTGACTGTGCTTCCTTCTCTTCTGACATCAGTCAATTAACAAGTATATACCAAGAACCCAAATATCCAGAAAGTGTAAAATCAATGGAAGATACAAACTCACATTAAGTTATTGGTTTGACAAAGAAATTTACAATCCTGTGTGTAAGAGAAGGGATTGGAGAGTTTGAGAAGGCTACTACTTGAAGAAGGTGGGTCTTGTACCAGTTTTAAAGAGATTGGTGGGTTTTAGATGGGTGAGGAAGAAGAAGGGGGCCTTTTAGATTGAAGAAAAGTGAGGAATAGAACAAAGACCCATCTGGAAGCTTGTGAGAAGAAAGCCTGCTTGTAGTGGAAGGTTTGTGTAGGGGATTAATGTGAATTAAAGATGGATCTGTGAGAAGAATCTGATTATGGAGGGCCTTGAAAGCAACTCAGAAGAGTTTGGACAGTAACAAAAGGCAATTATTTTTGGTTCCTAATAAAGAAATAGTAGAATAAAAATTTGTGTTTAAAAAAGACGAGTCTACTGACTCAGGACCATAGTATTGGGGGGCACCAGACTCAATTGGCACAACAAAATATATAAAAGTCTTGTTCCTCATCCTATATTAATGAGTAGTGACTGGGTTCTTCAAAGCTTTCAAACGGCCATCTAAGATGCAGCTAATGGTCTTCTATCAACGGAAGCAAGCTGTTGTTGTTGTTGTTATGTGCTGTCGAGTCAGACCTGACTCATAACGACCCCTCCTTGGGTTTCTGAGGTGGTATCACTACAGAAATAGATTGCTCAACCTTCCTTCTGAGGAGTGGCTAGTGGGTTTGAACCACCAGCTTTCTGGTTAGCAGTTAAGTGCCTTAAGCACTACGCTACCAGAGGGAAGAAGAGTGAAAAAAAAACAAGGGCATTTGGAAGCAATCAGCCCTAGGACACTATGACCCTTGAGACCAGAAGGACCAGATGGTGCCTGCCTACCAATGCCAACCACTCGAGAAAGGATCAAAACTGGAGATCTTGGATAGAGTGAGAAGAAAAACGTGGAACAAAATCCAAAAACTCAGTAATGACCAGAATTACTGGTCAGATGGACTCTGGTGAGACCCCCAATGCTATGGTCCTGGGATATATTCTTGGCCTGGGATAAAACTCACTCCCAAGGGCTGGCTCTCAGCCCAATAGTAAACAAGATGTACATGCAGACCACTCAACCCAGGGTGATGCACCCACATACTCTATGGAGATACATCCATTGGAGCAATTGACTATAGGGCACCAGAGGGGGAACACAGAGGAAATGCAGGACACACAGGAGTGCATAACTATGGGGGCACAGGGGGAGGGTTACTGAGCAGGGAAGGGAGGAGACTGGGGTAGGGTTAGGGATGGTAAATGGGGAGTGAAATTAAATGTACACATAATGTTGAATGTAAAACAAACTCTTAAAATAAAAAATTAATAATAATAAAAAAGCAAACACTATGCTGCTGCATTGTAGCAGGAGGAGACAAAATCCTCTTGCTGGACACGGACACCCATCAGGATAGGTCAGGATCCTCAGTGAGACTGGAAGGAAAAGACTAGAAGAATCTTACTTTTAGATGAGTGTGGATAGAGAAGAAGAACCCAGTCCAAAAGAACTGAATTAAAAAATGTCTGGCTTAATAAAATAATTTTTAAAGAAATGATAAATAGGCATAAATATACCAAAAATGAAATCCATTAATTTTGTCAGAGTGCTTATGAAATATATTTGAGAAGAGGATTAGGTTTATCATGTGGAAGATTCAAATTTTATTCACAAATATTTGAATGGGTACAAATGTCATCTCCTCTTGCTATTGGATGGCTTCTGTCATAATAGCCAATCTCATCTCTCTCACACATTTATCACCCTATAAAAGAGGAGAGACAAGAGTAGACTTTCTCTCCCTCAGGGCTGTATATTTTGCAGTTCTCCAGATACCCTTTTAGCGTGAATTTTTACAAATGTGTTTTTAACTCACAAAAGTAGTTACATTCTTCCTCAGAGGGTTTACTCTGCAGTAAGTACCGCAAGAAAAAATTTTCAATGCAATAGCATAGTGGCTAAGACACTTGCCTGCTAACCAGACGGCTGGCGGTTCAAACCCACCAGCCACTCCTCGGAAGGAAGGTTGGGCAATCCTACTTCCGTAGTGATACTGCCTCGGAAACCCAAGGAGGGGTCGCTATGAGTCGGGGCCGACTCGACGGCACATAACAACAACAACAACAAGCTGTATTTAAATAATGGAATGCCAATTCCAATCTTCTCAAGAAAAACAGTTATGGGTATGATAAATAGCTGGTGAAGAAATAGAAGATAAATTTTATTCTAGCAAGAATAGTTATGCTTTATCAACAAAAATGAATGCAAAAGCCAAATTGCTTTATTCTTTCCTTTCCTAAGAGCATTCAGCTGATGAAAATCCTGATTGTAGACCCTTCTTTTCTGCTTTAATTTCAGTCAAAGAAACTCTGGGTTGGACCACAATCCTCTTCATAGTTATAGGAGTGCTGATGGCCTTGGGTGGTCTTTTTGTGCTGCTGGTTTTTCTTCAGTATAGAAGACTTCGAAAAGGATATACACCTCTAGTGGAGACACAGTTAAGCAACAAGAGATACACAGAAGAAGCCTAGAATATTCATGGCTTACCCTTGAGAAGACATGACCAGGCCACAGTTCTGACTTTGATAATGAGCAAACCGTTCTCCTTGTTCTTCCTTAACTTGAAGATCTCTGACATACATCCTCCTATTGTAGTGATGATTCCAAGTACAGAAATTTTGTAGCTATAGTTTCTATTTGTTTGTTTGTTTACCAACCACAAGCTAGAGTTTTCAGGGCTATTTCTATCATCAAATAAAAGTAGAGCTGACAATTTGTGGTATCTGATAATAATTCTCCATATTGATTAAGCCTTTCTGTGTTCTGAGAGCACCAAGAAATTGATAAGAGTGAATTCATTTACATTTGCAGGTCAATATAATTTGAGACCTGGGTTCAGTGTCGCTTAGCCTAAGTATCTTTATTTGTAAAGGCGTGGGTGTGGGGGTGGCAGGCACTAGATGAATCTCAAAGATCCCATTTAGCTGTAAACATACATGTGTCTGGGTGCCCTCCTGATCATCTTCCTGGGGCTTCCTTTTTTCTAAATTTTCTTTTTTTCTCTGCAGCCTTTACAATGGCCTTGATGATTAAAATAGGCTTACGGAGCTCTGGTAGCATAGTGCCTAAGGCATTTGACTGCTAACTAGAAGGCTGGTGGTTCAAACCCACCAGCCACTCCTCGGAAGGAAGGTTGGGCAATCTACTTCCGTAGTGATACTGCCTCCGAAACCCAAGGAGGGGTCACTATGAGTCGGGGCGACTCAAGGGCACACAACAACAACAACAATGGTCAGAGAATGGGGATTGAATGAATGAATAATTAATTCAGTTCTCTTTTGTCAATTAGACTTTACAGAATTTGTTTAAAGTCTTGCAGTTTTTAATAGTAGACCTATCACAGAATTTAATAGCTGGAGAAACATTGGTGCTATAGTATTAATTAAATAAATGAGGGAATAAAACTATAGAGTTGAGCCTATTAAGTATATCGCACTCCCTGCAAATCAAACCTGTTGCATTGAGCCTATCCTGACTCATGCTAACTCCACGTGTTACAGAGTAGACTTGCTCCATAGGGTTTTCTTGACTGTAATCTTTACAGAAGCAGATGGGCTGGGCCTCTCTTCCGAGGCATTGCTGAGTAGCTTCAAACCACCAATTTTTAGTTTAGTTGAGTGCAAAACATTTGTATTACCTGGGGACCTATCAGGGTCACTCTTTCCAGGAAAGATCAACTGGAGAAGGCTGTTGAGGTTATTATCTTGAATGTAAGACAATTTGATTAGGATCCCATTACTCTGAGGCACCCATGGGCTGGTCTGGAGTGAATTGCTTGACTAAGTAGCCTCAGATGAAAAATTATTCACATACAATGCATTTGCTTATTTTTATTTATTTTTTCCACATGAACATCATCATTATTTATTGAAGAAGTGCAAATCAAAACCACAATGAATTAGCACGTTACCTGACCAGGAAGGCTAAAATAAAAAAGACAGACAATAACAAATATTTTTGTGAGGATATAGAGAAACTGGAAGTCTCATACATTGCTGGCAGGACTGTAAAACAGTTCAACCACCTAGAAAAACAGTTCCTCAAAATGTTAAAAATACAGTTATCATATGACCAAGCAACTCCACTCCTATGTATATAGCCAAGAAAATTGAAAACGTGTTCGCACAAAAACTTACACACAAATGTTCAAAGCAGCATTATTTATAATAACAGAAAAATGAAAACAATACCAGTGTCCACTAAGGATAGCAAAATGTGGTATATTTGTGCAACAGAATATTACTCAGGCATTTGGCTTATTTTTAAGAGTTGATTTTAGATTCATTAATGCTGCACTGTACTGACAATTACTTATGAGTATTAACCAACAAAGTTTTATAATTTAAAAGCAAACCATCATACAAAATATAATCATTCAGTATTAAGTGGTAATATTTTGCTAAGTCATCATCAGATCATGAGAGATAAGAATGAGACAATCTTTACTAAAATGTTCAAACCTGAGAGAAGTTGATGGTTGTTGGTATTTCAAGGCAAATTTCATCTGCTCATATCTGATACCTGTACATCGGAAATGAGGCAGAAGTTCTAGAGAGTGGCTTGTCTGTAGGCTTGTTTTGGCTTCTTTCCATTGGAATGTTGTTGTTTTTGTTAGATGCTTTCGAGTTGATTTCAACTCACAGCAACCCCATGTGATAGAGTAGAGCTGCCCCATAGGGTTTTCTTGGGTGCAGTCTTTTACAGAAGCCGATTACCAGTCTCTCCTGCAGAACCACTGGGTGGATCCAAGCTGCCAACATTTTGGTTAGCAGCTGAGTGGTTGCTATTTGCCCCAAAGAATGGACGTCAAGAGTCCTTGGAGCTGCCTTCTGTGTATGGGTGCAGGATTCACTGAGACCCAGTGTTATTCCCTGGAATAATAAACCTCAAAAGCCCAAAAAATGGACTGAGCCAAGTTTGAAGTAAGCTTCAGCTTGAGTAGGTCTCATCAGTTCCAGGTTTATCTGAGAGTAGGCTCAGAGATGAGAATCAAGAAGTGGACAGAAGCCCAGAGTCCTTCATGGGGTGAAGCCCTGCTTGGGCCTTTTTGTTATTGTTGTTGTTTGTCATCGAGTTGGACCTGACTTATAGCGACCCCTCCTCGGGTTTCCAAGGCAGTATCATTATGGAAGTAGATTGCCCAACCTTCCTTCCGAGGAGTGGCTGGTGGGTTTGAACCACCAGACTTCTGGTTAGCAGTCAAGTGCCTTAGGCACTATGCTACCAGAGCTGTTTAGCCTCAGTCATATGTATAGGTTTCAATCCCTGCCATTAATAATATTCATGGAAAACAGCAATGTTTTGTCAACACACTTCATTCTGGAAGGTTTATGTCTGAGTTCAGAGCTTGTTGGGGAGCAGGTCTTTATATCCCATTTTCAAATGAAAAGAGAAATATATTAAAATGAAAATATAACTGTTTCTGGTAGGTATGTTCCTTAGAAGTTATGTGTAAATCAAGTATGTGTTAAAAGTATCAGGGGATATTACTTTTTGTAGATGAACTATTCTGAATAATTCTATAAAGCAAATACCCACCTCTAACTAGTATCGGATTACCCAATAAAGTAAGCACAGGTTTAGTTGTGCTTACTCACTGATCTGTAGGGGACAGTTTCACATTTTTCACTACATCAAAGATTCTAAGTATGGCTGGCATCTCTCTCTATCTCCATACTCCACAGCAAAGAATTAAGTCCTCTTTTCCTGCATAGGCATAGAGTATCAATTAAGCAAGGTAAGCATGGGCTTACTCGTGCTTACTTACTAATCTGTTTTATGGGAATGGATCACCACATCTTTTCTCCCATGGAGCCATGGGTAGGTTCCAACCGCGGACCTTTTGGTTAGCAGCTGAGCACTTACCCATTGCACCACCAGGGCTGCTTATATTACACTTTCGAAAATAATTTCTTTAATAAACACTGATATTTCTACTCTGAGGAGTTTCTAAGCAATTGCTATTATCTCATTCTCTATTGTTCAGTGGGAAAATCAGATGCCTTTTTCTCAGGGGAGGAGTTAATTTTGATATTCTCAGAGTAAAATGACTGATACAGGGTGAGGATGGCTAGTTCAACTCACTGAGCAGGGGGAGAGGAGAGAGGTACTGCAGCAGCTAACTCTGATCATCCAGGTAAGCCTTCCAGGCCAGTCAACTTGCTGAATATCCCCAGAAGAAAAAAGGAAATTAGAGCTAATGAAGTAATGGCTATGTGGATTTAGATGGAAGCTTTTAGAAGTCAGGTTGTATACTCGGTACAACTCCATTTCAGTTATCAAAGCACCTTTCATTTTCAATTATCAAAGAAAATGTTGGTGGATAATTGATACAGATACATGTTGTTGTTGTTGTTATGTGCTGTCATGTCAGACCTGACTCATAGCGACCCCTCCTCGGGTTTCTGAGGTGGTATCTCTACGGAAGTAGATTGCCCAGTCTGCTTTCCAAGGAGTAGCTGGTGAGTTTGAACCGCCAGCCTTCTGGTTAGCAGTCAAGTGCCTCAGGCACATGCTACAGATGCATGAGAGTACCAGAAAGAAGAGTCAATTCACTTCCCTGTGGGAGGTAATTACTCTCTTCAATACAATGTCAAAACCCAAGGTGGAACTCTCCATATCTCTACAGTGCCTTGCTCCTCATCCAAAAACCAAACCAAACTCATAGCTATCAGTCAATTCTGACTCATAGTGACTCCTGTGGGGTTTCCAAAATTGTAAAATTTTATGGGAGCAGACTGCCTCATCTTTCTTCCATGGAGTGGCTTGTGTGTTTGAATCACTGACTTTTTGGTTAGCAATCAAATGCTTTAACTGTTACTCCACCAGAGTTCTTCTACTCATCCTAGACACTCCAAGGGAGCTCTGGTGGCATAAGGCCTAAGACATTTGACTAATGTGCTAATCAGAATGCTGGCAGTTCAAACCCACCAGCTACTCCTTGGAAGGCAGACTGGGCAATCTACTTCCGTAGAGATATCACTTCAGAAACCCAATGAGAGGTCGCTGTGAGTAGGATTTGACTCAACGGCAGTCCAAAAATATTCTTGAAATGAATAAATGACTGAGTATACTGACCTCAAAGTAAATCTTTTCATTTAGGACTTCTAGTGTGTGATTAGGAGCTCTGGTAGCATAGTG